TTGGACAAGCCTCTGTGGTTTGAACAGGTGGATGGTTTCCTGGGTTTTTTTTTTTGGGGGGGGGGGTGTCCTGGCCATCCATATTATGGAGCCAGTGAGGCTAGAGATGGCCCAACACTGGGAAATGATTTGCTTTGTCATCGTGCCCAGAATGACTGAAGCAGTGATCCTAGGTGTAGCATGGCTGGACAAATGGGGACTGACCATATGGTGGGAGGGAGGGTGCCGGAAGTTGAAGATAGGCTGAGGTGCACTTCCTCCACTGCATGAACAAGTCCATAGGGAGGGGGGTACCACTACCAGACATGCTGGATCAAGGAAGCTCCAAGGACTGGGGAGCCTCCCCTACCCATTGGTATATGAAGAGTTGGCTGACATGTTCAGTGAGGAGTGTGATGTCTTGCCTCCTCACTGCCCCTCTGACTGTGCCATTGAGATCATCCACTAGCAAAATTGCCCAAACCCAAGATGTACTTGATGACGCCCTGGGAGATGGAGGAGCTGAGGCACTACATTGACAAGAACCTGGCCAGGGGGTTCATCCAGCAAGTACAGTTCCAGATCACCACTGTGGTGTTGAAAGAAAAGACGGGGCAGTGTTCTTGTGTGTGGACTTTAGGGGCATAAATGGAGTGTGTGTGGAGAATATGTACCCTCTACCCCTGATGAAAGACATGTTGGCTCACTTGGCTAGGGGAAAAGTCTTTACCAAGCTTGACCTATGGGAGGTGTACTGCAGGGTTTGAATAAGGGAAGGGGATGAGTCGAAAACTATGTTCAACTGTCACTGGGGAGCTACCAGTTTTGGGTGATGCCATTCAGGTTACAGGGGGCCCCTGAGGTGTTCATGCAGCTCATCAGTGAGGTGCTGCATGAACACCTGTACAAGGGGGTGTTGGTCTATTTAATATACATTCTAGTGTATACCAAAACACTGGATGAGCATATCCACCTGGTACGTCAGGTGTTAGAAAAATTGCTGGTGGCAAATCTTTACGTAAAGTTGTCCAGTTGCAAATTCCACCAGAACCCTTTGGACTCTGGGTTACTACGTGTCCAGCATGGGGGTGGAGATGGATCCCACAAAAGTTAAAGCCGTCCTGGAATGGCAGGCACCCAGGACACGTAAGCAGTTGCAGTGTTCTCTGGGTTTTGCTAACTTCTATAGACAGTTCATCCCCTTGTTCACCTGAGTGGTTCTGCCGATCACCAACTTATTGAAGACCAAACATGCAGCGACCAAGCCCCAGTCCAAACAGCCCCTCCAGTAGACAATGGAGCTGCAGAGATAGCTAATGCAATTGTACAACAGTACTTAAGGAGTTATGTCAACTACCAGCAGGCTAATTGGGCAGAGCTTCTGCCATTTGCGGAGGTGGCATACAACAATGCAGTACATAGCAGTATGGGCCTCACCCCCTTCAAGGTGGTGAACGGGGTGGAGTTCATCCTGATCCCCGTGTACCTTCCTCAGTTAGCCTGACCAAGTGGATTGATATTCTGCAAGGGGTCTGGGGAGATGTAAAACGGGTGTTGATAAAAGCAGCCGAGACACAAAAATGCACACAGACAAAAAAAGGTCACCACAAAGACCATTCCACAAATGGGAGAAGGTGTACCACTCCACTAAGTACCTGAAACTAAAAATAACATGCAGGAAGTTGGGATTGAAATTCCTGGGTCTGTTCCCCATAGTTAGAGTAATTAATCCATTCATGGTGGAGTTGAAGCCTCCTTGCCTATTGGGGAAGATCCATCTGGTCTTCCATAGCAGCCTGTTGAAGCCGGTGGAGACATCAGAAAGTAGGCCCTCACCCCAGCCACTGTCCGGGCCCATCGTAGTGGAGGGAGAACCCCATTACAAAATCGACCAGATATTAGATTCCTGCAATATCTAGTTCAATGCAAGGGGTACCCCTTGTAAAAATCCTCATGGGTGAAGAGTAGAGACGTGAAAGCAGAGAGGATGATCAACAGGTTCCATAGGAGGAATCCCCCAAAACCTAGGGAGGGAACCCTCCCAGGGAAAGACCCTGACCATGTATTTACTAACCTATACATGCGCTTGTTCTTTTCCAGATACATTCCCCCGATAGAGGGGAATTGCCTGTCAACATCCGAGACAGTGACTATCAAGGCCAGGCCCGTGTGTGCTGTTTTGGAGTTGCCACACACGGGAAGGGGGAGGGGTCATCACAGATGGGTGGTAAGGACTTACAGAGGGGTGGGATGAGAGAGCAGAGCAGGAAACTGCAACATTCAAGGCCGGCATGGAGCTCAGGAGTCCAAGGCCTGCTGATGAAGAAGGGACTGGTGATTCCTTGCTGGAGTGAACTTTCTCAGAGGGTGGGGTGTGCCAAGCCCTCATAATCAGCTGGAGGATGGAAGGCTGTAACGCTGACTAAATCTGTTTCACTTTGTGCTGAGTCTGTTACTGAGTAAAGTTACTCTACTGGCAGTGTGGTCTCTTTCCTTGCAACATAGGCTCAGAACAGTGATATCTAGGTTGGTTCTCTCCTTGATTAGCTTTCATCCATTGCTCCTTGTCCTGCCCTCAGGTGCTTTAGAGAATAGCTTGACTCCCGCTTCTTTGTGACATAGATATTGGAACACTGCTATCATGTCACCCCTAGTTCTTCTTTTCATTAAACTAGACATACCCAATTCCAGCAACCCTTATTTTTATATTTTAGCCTCCAGTCCCCTAATCATCTTTGTTGCTCTTCTTTGCACCTTCTAGAGTCTCAACATCTTTTTTACATCGTGGTAACCCAAACTATATGCAGTGTTCCAAGTGTGGCCTTACCAAGGCATTATAAAGTTGTATTAACACTTCATGTGATCTTGATTCTATCCCTCTGTTAATGCAACCTAGAACTGTGTTGGCTTTTTTAGCAGCTGCAGCACACTGCTGGCTCATATTTAAATGATTGTCCACTAGGACTCCAAGATCCCTCTCACAGTTACTACTAATGAGCCAGGTACCACCTATACTGTGCAAGTGCATTTTGTTTTTCTTGAATTTCATTTTGTTAGATAGCACCCAATGTTCAAGTCTGTCAAGATCCTTCTGTATCTTAAGCCTATCTTCTGGAGTGTTGGCTATTCCTGACAGCTTGGTGTCGTTTGATGAGTTCCCCATCTATTCCCTTGTCCAAATCATTGATGAAGATGTTGAAGAGTACTGGGCCTAAAATAGAGCCTTGGGGTACCCCACTGCATATTTGTTTCCATGTAGATGTAGTTCCATTGAGGACTACATGTTGAGTGTGGTTGGTCAGCCAGTTATGAATCCATCTGGTTGTGTTGCTGTCTAACCCAGATTTTTCTATCATATCAAATTCCTCCCCCCCCTTGTCAACCAGCCTTCATGCTACCCCCTGCGGAATGTATTCCCCCAGGCTGGAGATTCTATCCTGGTCATGGGTGGGTCCAATGCCAGTGAATGCCAGCACCGTTTGCACCACCTTCTTTGGGACCACCATGGGGCCAGCAGGCTGCAGCCACCCCCACTTTTCCAACTCGACAACCAGCTCAGCACAGCCCCTATCCAGCAGCAGTGCCACAGCAGATTCCAGCTCAGCCGCCACCCACCGCAGCGCCCCAGCAGGTCCCTGCCCTGCCACCCACCATAGCGTAGCAGCAGGTCTCTGCCCTGCCACCGGTTGCCATGGCAATTCTACCAGTGAGACCAGCGCCACCAAGGTTTAGAGTGACATTTGATGGGAAGCCTGCAAAACTTGCTTATTTCCTCAGCTGAGTCTGGGCACATATAGATCAATATGGAGAACAATACGAAACAGGTTGCAACTTAGTTTCAGTGATTTCAGATGGGATGAATGAAGGAGATGCTTCTGACTAGACAGCCCAGCTACACAATGAGGGGGCTGCTGAGCCGGATGATGCAGATGGATCTGTTGAGCTGCTCCGGGCTAGATTTGAAGACCATGACAGAGTAGGTGAAAATGAAGACAAAATAAAAGTGATGAAGCAAGGTAATCGACCATAAAAGACTTTGTATGGGACTTTAGACTGGTCACAGGAAAACTCCATGTTGCAAAATGGGGGTCTTTATATACAGGCCACAAATGCCCTTCTCAAGATGGCAGCCACCTTCCTACGTATACATATAGGGAGTGTCAGATTTAGGTGACCCCAAATTCTTAACAAATTTTTGGGATGAGATAGTCAACAAACAAGAATATACTTTTGCAAAAGCAGGCAATTCTGAATCCCTCTCTGGTGAGTTGGAGTCAGAAGAGCAAGGCACTTCCTTTTTCAATACAATTTATAGTGAATGTCCTTTTGAACTTGCGGTTCAAGTATTCTATCGAAACAGGGAACCTTACAGCAAGCAGCCAGGTAGGAAATATTTGAGGTTACATGTTTTTCAGCTTAAACAAGTGTTTAAACATAATTGTTATGAGCAAGCATTTTAGCAAAGAAGCAACTCTCCTGGTCATCCAATCCACCCCCCTTGTTATACATAAATTATTTAAAAGAATTCAAAATAATATTTCTTTGATCCACATCCTTCAGGGAGGCTTGCACTTAACCTTTGAAACAATTTTAGCTCGGAGAGGCGTAAAACGGAAATGATCTCAAGACAACTCCCACTTTATAAGGAAGAAAATTCTCGCCAAGATTCAGTGTTAAACACACACACACACAAAGATGAAAGGCGTCCTGAAAGATAAAACCCTTGGGGAAAAAACCCGCGAAGACAACTTTTAACTTCCGCACTCTAACGGAAGCAACCATAGAGAGTGGTCGAGTCACGAAAGAAACCACTTGGAAAGGGGCGGCGTTTTAGCCGCGACGACCTTCCCAAACTGGCGAGGCTTCAAGATGCATCTCCCTAGATGGCAGCGAGCGCTTCCGTGCCGTTGATCCGTCTTTTCTTCCGGCGGCTGCTTCCGCGAGTGCTTCTGTACGCCGTCTATGGTCTTTTTTCCCTGACCGAAAGCCGTAAGGCGAGCTTCGAATGGGGCGCATGCGCTACGGTGTTCTTTCCCCCTAAACGGGGTTGGGTTATATACCGAAATTGCAGTGCATGTTGGGAAACTGGGGTTTTTGCTGCTTTTTCCTCTCTGGGGCGTCTGGGTTGAGGCTACATCTGCAGAGATGGTGAGTCGGGGAGGGTAGCGGCCTGCGGGAGTGGGCCCGAAATAGTAGCAGCGGGAACCTAAGAACGACCGCGACCCTCCTGGAATCACCGTCCTCGCTCCTTTCCCTTTATTTGTCGGTGTGTGTGTGTGTGTGTGTGTGTGTGTCCGTCCCCTGCCCTTCCGTGGGATTCTCCTCGTCCGTCAGTCCGTCCGTCCCCGGTTCTCTTCCTCAGATCCGTTTTGTGCGGACCCGATCCGGGCTCCCCAGCACAGGGCCTTTCCCGACGCCCCGAAAAGAGGCGGCTTCCTGCTGGTTTGCTCCCTTTTGGTTTTTCCCCGACGGTCTAATCGGGATTCCGCCTCGGTCCCCAGTCCGCTTTATCGTCCCAACAGCCCTGCCAGGTAGGCTCCGAGAAGGGTTGCGGGGCAGAGGGGCAGCCCGGACGTTTTTTTTTTTTTTAAAAAACAATTTTATTGGTTTTTAAAGACAAACATAACAAACAACAAAAAAACATCCAGCTTTCTTTCATAGGTATACAAGCAGTGTGTCAGTTGGTTTACCAATTTTTTGTGCATCCATTTCGTAGTCTCAGTTACAGTTACATAATAACTAATATTATCAATCAAAAATTAAATACCCTAGTATCACTATTAAACAATCATTTGACTATAATTTTATTCATTCATACTTTGCGAGATAACTATAGTTTACTTAGTTTATTTTATACCAAATCATACAATCATACCAAATCTAGCCTAAAAACATTTTTATAGATATGATATATATAAAAAAGAAATATATCTTTATATATTCATTATTTCCTAGAATTCTAGATATTCTATTATTGTATTTTATTATCTAACCATTGGTAGAAAAGGTCCCAAATTTTGTAAAATTGTTTATCCTCTTGTTCTCAAATTTCAAATGTCAATCTATTCATTTCAGCACATTCCAATATTTTCTTAATAATTTCTTCCTGCGATGGTATTTTCTCATTTTTCCAGTTTTTAGCAAATACAATCCTAGCTGCTGTTAATACATTTACAATCAGGTATTTCAAATCTTTACTATATGTATCAGGTAAGATTCCCAATAAAAAAATCTCTGGTTTCAAGTCTATGTGTTTCTTTGTCATTTTTTCCAACCACATGCGAATTTTAGTCCAATATTTTCTAGCGTCCTCACAAGTCCACCACATATGGTAATATGAGCCAGGTATCTGATGACATTTCCAGCATTTTTCAGATTTATTCTTGAACATTCTTGCTATTCTTGTCGGGGGAAAATGCCACCTGTAAAACATCTTATACAAATTTTCTTTATATGCTGTTGACATTGTCATTTTATAATTTTGAGACCACAATTTTTGCCATTTCTCTAAATCAATCCCATATCCAAAATTCTTCCCCCAAGCAATCATAGTTTCTTTAACTTGTTCTTCCTCTAGCTTAATTTCCAATAAATAACCATATAATTTTTTAATCACCTTTTCATCAGTACCTGTCAAAATCTTATCTAAATCTGTCAATTTATCACAGAATCCTTCTGTTTTAAAATCTTCATCATACCTTGAGTGTATTTGCGCATATGAAAACCAATTCATCTTTATACCTTGTTCCTCTAAATTTTGCATCGATTTAAGTTCACCCTTTTCATCCAATATTTCCCCATATCTAACTGTTTGTTCCTTCTTATAGGATAAGAAAAAGCTTTAATAGTCGATAACCAAACTGGGATTTTCAAATAACATTGTCTCTTAATCTTCTCCCAATTTAACCACAAAGACTCCCGTATATGATGTCTTCTAATATAGCCCTGTGTTTTAGTTCCCTTATACCATAGAAAAGCATGCCAGCCCAACAACAAATCATGTCCTTCTAGCGTCAACAATCTGGTCTTTCTTAATGTTATCCATTCCTTAGCCCACATCAAATTTGCAGCTTGATAGTACAACTCCCAATTAGGCAGACCAAATCCTCCTCTAATTCTAGCATCCTGTAAAAGTTTTAACTTTATTCTCGCTTTCTTACCTTGCCATATATACTTCAAAACAATTTTATTTAAGTCTTCAAAATAGTCTTTTCCAAGCCTAATTGGTATTGTTTGAAACAAGTATAAAATTCTGGGTAGGATATTCATCTTGATTGTTGAGATTCTCCCTATTAATGACAATTGTATGTTTTCCCATTTCATCAAGTCTAACGCTATCTGTTGTTTGAGTTTAATGTAATTGTTCTCTTTTAATGTACTACATCTTGGTGTCAAGTGTATCCCCAAATACTTATCCTTATTCGTGACTTGAATTTTCAATAGATCTTCCAGTTCTTCTCTTTGTCTTATTGACATATTCTTTGTCAAAATCTTTGTTTTATCTTTGTTTATTTTCAAACCAGCCACCTCACCATAAGTCTCTATCTTTTCCAATAGTTTTGGAGCTGTTTCTAAGGGGTCTTCCAAAATAAAGGCCAAATCATCTGCAAAGGCTTGCAATTTAAATTCTTCCTTTTTGATTTTCATTCCTTTTATACCTTTATCATCTCTAACATTTCTATTCAACACTTCCAAAGTTAATACAAATAGCAAAGGTGATAGTGGGCATCCTTGTCTTGTACCTTTTCGTATATTAATAGAATCTGTAAATTCTCCCTCTATCATTACCTTTGCCATTTGCTTATAGTATATGGCTTCTATTGCTTGAATAAATTTTCTGGCAAAACCCATCTGTTCCAGTAATAATAACATGAATCTCCAGTTCACATTATCGAATGCCTTTTGTGCATCTAAGAATATCAAAGCCATTTGCTTCTCAGGATGTGCCTCATAATATTCCAAAGTGTCCAGAATTACTCTCATATTGTCTTTGATTTGCCTCTTTGGCAGAAATCCATTTTGATCTGGATGAATAAAGTTGTTTAAGTATTTTTTAAGTCTTTCTGCTAAAATTGAAGCAAATATTTTATAGTCTGCATTTAGTAAAGAAATAGGTCTATCATTCTTAATTTGTGATGGATCAGCCTCTTCTTTTGGAATAAGTGTAATATAGGCTTCTGACCATGTTTTAGGTATCTCCTTTGCCATAACTTCATTCATGACTTCTAGCAGTGGAAGGCTCAGCGATTCTTGTAGTGTTTTATAAAATTCTGCCGGAAGCCCATCTGGACCTGGTGCTTTTCCATTGTTTTGCTTCTTAAGTGCTTCAGTTAATTCCATCATTGTTATATTACTTTCCAACATTTTTTCAGTCTCTTTAGGTATCTTAGGTAATTAGCATTCTGTAGGTACTGTTTGACTCTTTCCTCATCAATATTCTCTTGCTTATATAGTTTCCCATAGAAGTCTTGAATAATTTCCTTTTTCTCTTTATTGCCATAGCAAACTTGGCCTTGATCGTCTATTAACTGTAATATTTTCCTTGATTCTTTCTCCTTTCTCAATTTATATGCTAACCGCCTACCTGGTTTATTTGCACCTTCAAAGTAGTTCTGTTTAGCACTTCTAATTTTCTGTGCCAATTCTTCTTTCTCTAATTGACCAATTTTATGTTTGATTATATCCAGTTTTAGTTTAATGTCTTTTTTCTGTGGCATTTTCTGTAATTCTTTTTCAAGTCTTTTATGCTCATCTTCTAAAACTTTAATAGCTTGCCTTTTCCTTATGTTCTTTTTCCTTATATAGTCTATTATCAAGCCTCTAGCATATGCCTTCATTGTGTCCCAAACATTCTGGATTGAGGTATCTTCTTTTTTATTTTCTCTAAAGAAAAAGGCCAATTCTTTCTCCATCCATTGTGTAAAGTCTTTTTCCTTTAAAATAGTATTGTTTAAAGTCCATCTCGATCTTCTTTTTTGTCCTTTCCATTTAATTGTCATTGGATTATGGTCTGCCCAGGTACTTATTTCAATGTTTATTTCTTGAATGATAGATATTAGTTCTGTTGAGATCCAAATCATATCTATTCTGGACCATGATAAGTGTCTATTTGAATAAAAAGTAAATTGTTTTGTTTTAGCATTTCTTTCTCTCCATATATCTTTTAAGTTTATTTCATCTGTCATTTTAAAAAAAGATTTAGGGAGAGTCTTTCTGTTTTGCTTTGCTGTTGTTGCTGTATGGTCCAGTTAACTGTCTACAATTCCATTGAAATCTCCCATCATAACTATATTGACATAGTCCAGTCCAATTATTTTCATATGTAAATTTTTATAAAATTCTTCTTGTTTATCATTCGGAGCATAAATTGCAATCAGGAGTGTTTTCATATTATTGTCCATTATTTCCACCATTAATACTCTTCCATCTTCATCAGTATGAATCAATTTGGCTGGGATAGTCTCTTTAATGTATAAAACCACTCCTCTTTTCTTACATTGAGTCAAAGAAGTAAATATTTTCCCTAATTTTGGCTGTACCAACAATTGTTCATATTGTTTTTTAATATATACTTCTTGTAAACAAATTATATCAAATTTTAATTTCTCTAATTTATGAAAAAATTTCCTTCTTTTGACAGCTGAATTAAGTCCGTTTATATTCATTGTAATCAGTTTTTTCTCTTCCATGATTATATTTTATAGTTAGGTTTGGCAGCTCTCGTAGTTCTTGGTTCACATCGTTCTTTGATCTCCACCTGTCCACCTACTGCGCCTTCTCCTTTTTCAGTCTCCATTTGATCCTCTTGGAATTCAATTAATGAAATCTCTTTTTCTGCCTCTTCCTCTCTCCTTCCAAAAAATTCTGCATAGAATAATTCTGCTTTCTCAATTGAATCAATTCTATGTCTTTGTTCTTGCCATGTAAACATTAGTCCTTCTGGAATTGGCCATTATATTTGAAATCTGAGATAAAATTCTGATCTGTCCATCTCCCACTTCAGCATCCCACTTTTATCTTGTTCAACCACTGTTAATCTACTGTCAATGTTGCCAATCTTCTTGTCTTTTTGTTTATCTTCAATTTTTTGGAATCTCTCGTCATACTTTGCCATCATTTGTTGAATATTTTCAATTTTTTCATCTGTC